TCATATGTGAGTCATACTGAATAAAATATAGTTTGGATAAACGTTATGCTGAACGACATCAAGAACAGACTGACATGTGTCGTAAATGTCAAATACCTTTCGCTTTCATTGGTGAATTGAAATGCTGTGTCAATGAAAGCTATCACAATATTCTTGAAGATGCAAAGACAAAGATGGGTCATCGATTACAGGTGTAAAACTAAAGGATTGCAATAAGCGAGATAAAGAAAGATACTATTATAAACAAAAAAACCAGCGAGGAATTTGTGACATTGGATTATAAAATGAAGTTCAATCCATTGTATTACGGGAAAAACGTGTAGAGCATTTAGGCAAATATGGTCTTAGTTGGTATGGAGCAATGGTGCAGTTAGTACTGACTGACAACACAAAGTGCTAGATGATTTTTATACTGTATATATTATGTTCATACATCATCTGGAGATGCCAAACAGGACTATTTTGGAGTATTGTCGATCTTAGAAGCCCTTCTACATCAAATTCATATTGATTTTCCACATGTCAAGTGTATTTACAATCCAAAGTGACAATGCCAGAGCTTATCAAGCAGCATATTTAATATGAAGAATATTGAAATTGAACAAAACAAGTCCTATCGAAACCAAGCGATTTGTTCACACCAACACTCAAAATGGAGCATTGACGCTCATTTTGCTATGACAATGATGCATGTGATGCACTATATCAATATGGAAAACAACATTTTATCACTAACTCAGCTTGTTGCTACTATTAGGGGGCTATCAAATGAGATTCCAGTTTTGTAAATCCTTGATAGAGGCAGACAAGCAGAATTTGAAGTAGCCTACGACATACCAGTCAAAAAGTTCCAATCAGAAGCAGGTTGAGTGAATTGTATCATTTTCTCATTAGAGTCCCAACTTGTGTTTCATCAATCGAGTGATCTCGCACATATCCTCATTATTGTATGCTTCGTCTGCAGAATTGTCGACACAATATATGTCATTTTGGGTGTCATAAACTTCCTCATCATCATCACAATCAGGGAGTTCACTTTCCAGAATACCAATTTCATTATCATCGTGACAATTTTCATTGATGGAACAAGTTGAGTCATTTTCCTGGATCAACTTGAAATTGGTAGTTGGTGCACGACCAGAATATTCAAACAATGTAGCTGTATCGTTGCGGAGTATCAATAATTCCAACTGATGTCATTCCAAAATATCATATTCACTGGAAACAACTTGAAAAGAAGTAGAAAGAGAACTGAACCACACTGAACAATTTAGCTTGGCTTTTGGACTATATCGTCTCTAGTGTGTGCAACAAACAATTCTCAAGTATACAGAAACAAGATTAACATGTGTGTGTAAAGTTCAAAAGATCAGTACAATGTTGTTGTGTATTCTATTATGGAAACTAAGAGGCTCATTGAATGTGACGATGTACAAGTTTAATTGCATGATGAGGATAAACTTAAAGAGTAGTTTGAAACTATTAGGTATGAAGAGTTCAAATCAGGATGGGCAGTTTGTCCACCTCATGGGATACGTTACTAAGATATCCAGTATGAAGTAAAAATTGATAAAATCAGGTACCAGTGCATCATGAACATACCACATTGCTGATGCAGGAAACATTTCTGATTTATTCTACAATAGGTTTAACCATTTTTGCATTGTTTATTGGCTTTTGGTGTCTCCTAAAAAGATATGTTACCTTGACCATATTTTGCCTCCTATGTCGCACTTTAACCATCTATAACTTCGAGAATAAAATTCCAATCTCAAATCCGAAGGTTGCTTTATAAGTCTTACAAATAGATGTGCCAATTCTTCCTAGTTTTTATGGAAACAACTGCAATGCAGTTTTAAGCATTTAGAAAACTTTGTATATGTTTAACAAAAAATGTACCCCTGGGTTGTAGAATGTTTGTTAAAATTAAAATCTCTCATAACTAAAATCTAAGTAAAAGCTGCATATTCTATCTCACTTAAAGATAGTCATTAAATTAATTAGTTTCATCTGGTGGTCTTTAATAAATTCTAACTAAAAATCTTCTCCTTTTATACCTACTAACAAAAATCCAAAATGGTTCAACCTCATTGCTATTAGCTTTGATATCCTTAATTGGATCAGGATTTAACTCACATTTTACACATAAAGTCACAGATTTCCCCTCGTTTTAGTACTTTATCCATATAAAACAACTTATAACTCAGTACTTCAAGGATATTCCTGTAATAAACATTGTCTACATTTAACCTGGTTTCAGTTATTCCCATTACATCAAAATACTTTGTTCCAACCAGAGCTCTAAAGTTGATCAATTTATTTCTTATACTTCTAGCATTACAATAATAACAGTTTAGCCTAACATTAAAATTACTTCTGTACTTTTTTTTCTACACTATAATTTTCTCTGTCTTATCTTTTTTCTTTATTATTCTTATCCTCACCACTGGCTAGTACTAATTTGAAGCTGCACTTACAGTTGAGTTAATAGCCCCTGCAAACAATTAGTGGTAGTAAGAGGTGTAGACCAGATGGGTTTTCCCATTCCATGCAGTTAATTGTGTTTAAGGTAGAAACTTTGAACAGATACAGAGAGGTATAACTTGTTTGATCCTTGCATTTAACTATTCATATTCTAGATATTTTATCCTAGGGTTAATGTCCTTTTATATTTTATTAGCATATGAAATTTTCTTAATCTTAAGTTACAAATATTGTTAAGTTATTTTATTAAAAAGAGGATGGTATTAATGTTTGTAATTAAACAGAAAGCTACACAATGGGCTATCTGTGCTCTGCCCACCACGGGTATCAAAACCTGGATTCTAGCGTTGTAAGTCTGCAGACATACCTCTGTGCCACTGGGGGCTGGTATTAATGGTAATTAATCTTGAACTTATTAGGACAGGTGAATTTTATATTAAAATAAGTTGTCAACAGGCCCTGAAGAAGGAAATTTTGCTTTGGAGAATGCTTTTGTTATTAAGCACAAAGCTACACAATAAGCTATCTGTGCTGTGCTCATCATGAATACTGATATCCTTTTTTTAACGTTATAAGCCCTCAGACTTGTAGAATGCTGAGAATAGTATCACTTTATAGCATTTTAGCTTTTGCTTCTACCATTCCATGTACCAAACTGGGTGCTTATCCTTGAAGGTTACAAATTTATTTTAAATATAAACTCACAAAAACATAAATCTAAGTTCCACACATTTTATTATTAATTCAGTAATTTTAAGATAATTTATGTGAAACAATACATATGAATGTAGTATCTAAATTAACTTTAAATCAAAGTAAGCAGTACACTTATTATTAATGCATAAAGGATTTAAATTCAGAAATTACACATACATGCTATTTATTACGGCACAGCAGAGAAAACTAGATTCTGACACAGCCATCCTTAGAACAATCAAAAGCAGCACCTACTGCCAGCACAGCTACTCTTAACAAACTAGCAGGATAGATTGTCACATTTATATACCCTTCTCAAAGTTGATCAATTTTCAGTGATATCACGCTATCTACAAAATGCCAAACAATGTCAAAATGTAGTTCTGATACATACTGTTCCACTGAGACTTTATATTGGCTGTAGTTATTGTATGAATTGCTAATTTGTACATTCTAAATCCGTTTAATATAATTTACTCAACTCTGTGTAATTGAAAATGAGATAACAAAATTTAAAGGCTGCACAGTCTTTTCGGAAATAATAGACCTCTTCTTACAAATTTGGCACCCTTAATTCCTTGTTCTTCTGCTATTTGTATGTCCCTTTTAATGAAAACTTTTTTTTTACTATGTTCACAATTATTCAAGTATAGGTTGAAGGTAGACTCCTGTTTCTTAACATCCCTGGTTTCTACCTAAACTCCTGCAATGCTTTTCTGTTTTGTGGTAGCGAAAGTGTGAAAAACTTCCGGTGGACACAGCTAAAATGAAAGTATCAACAAATGTAAGTGAACTTATACCCTTACTTTAAAACCTAAGTTATTTTTTTTTTGGTACTTACATAAAATTATCTTCTCTTCACCACTATATTTCTAATCTAAGAATTGATTTGACTTAAACAGATTTATGCAGCATAATTGTGGCTTTCCAAGTTAGGATGATTTAGTCTATGTTTGGTCTGTGATCCACGGTCTGGAAAACAATAATGCCAATTAGAAACTGGTCATTTCAGTTGAGAACTGTTATTGTAAACATTATAAAGGCAAAGAGGTGAGACTCATCCACGTTTGAGATATTATTAGGGATCATATAAAAGTAAAGAAACAATTTTAGACATACATACACACATATATCTAAATGCTCTAGAACTGAGTGATTAGTGATATTTGCTGATCAAAAGCCTCATTAACCAATTACATTTAATTAATCAATTAGTAAAGTGATCTCCATAACATGTTACAAAGAAAGAAAAAGAAGTTGGTAACGTGTATTGCCAGCCAGTTGCCTTCCCTCTAGCCAGTAGTTCAAAATTAATGACCAATGGTAGACAGCCTTAGCAGCTTTGCCATAATAGACAATGCAAGCAAATTTGGTGGCAATGGGAATCAAACCCAAAAACCTTGACTCATGAAACTTCTCCTCACCTAATACCACCAAAGCTGAACAAACATGAAGTAAAAACAATCGGAGCACAAATAGTAATTTATTTAGATTTGTGCTTATAAATAAACATAATAGGAATATATTTTGATTACTTAGAGAGTTAGAATAACTGAAAACAGTAACAACTGCAAACACTAATTTCAATTACTTGGTTACTTTCATGACAATCTGTATAATGAGAATATCAACTATTCAATTATGGAATAATCAAAAATAACAACTGGAAACACTAATTTGAATTAGATGATTAATTTAGTAACAACCAAGTTAACTGTAATTTCAACTGATTGATTCAACTGCCAATCTCTAAAAGACACCACTAAAAATATATTTACTATATGTTAAGTAATTTTCACTAAATAAACTACAAATACATATCAATATCCACCATACTTTTAATTCACAATCAAAATTTTATACTCAATGATTTTACACAGAGTTTATCAAAATTTTACAAATTATACAACAGATTAAAATATTTTATAAAAAGGAATTATATTGCGTAACTAACAATTTAAACAACTGGTTAAATTTCAGTACCATTTAAATCATTTATGAAATTCTTCTCAGTCTTCATAGAAAATTTAGTTAATAAAAATTAGTGTTCTGTCTACCAAAAATAACATAGAAGTATGTTATAATTGGATTGCTTCTACTGATCATCTTTATCCTTGGCACCATGCTTCAATATGCGTGTGAATTCAATGTAGTCAAACATCCCATTCCTATCTATGGGAGCTTCACTATACATTCTATCTACCTGTGAAAACAAATGTTTATCTTTAAGTTTCATTTACACTACATTTAATAAAATAAAAACAGTTGCAGAGCTCAAATAAGAGATATGGAAAAAGTATGATAAAACTAAGGTATATATAAAAAATTTATAACATAATTAGAATTACAAGTATTTTAATAGTTCCTTCTGGATTTTAGGACCACAGGTCTAAGACACCTTTAAAGTCCAGTATAGTTGGTTTAGCTGAAATATATTTGTTGGGTTAACTTCAAAAGAAAAATAAATAAATAAATGACATTTACTTTTCCATACAAGAAATTCTAAAACAATAAAAATTTTTTGAAAATTTTATGGCTGCTAAATAATTATTATATCAATAACAAATCAACAGAAATAAAAAAAATTGCTATTTTTACAGACGTACTTTTATAATCATGATTTAAGTTAGAATCCTTCAGAAGTAGAAACAATGTTTACATTGAAGTATTTTCAAATACGGAGTTATTGTTTCCTGAAGTTGTGGCTTATGGTTAGATGGGTATTGTGATTATTATGTAAATGTTTTATTTACCTTTATTTAATTTTTTCATTTTTAAAAACCTAAGTATTAAAATTATTTTTTGAACTTTTTTCATACGGAGGTAAAGTGCTGCATTATATAATGTTGACTAAAAAAACATATAAACAAGGTTCTCTAACTTGGTAAGAAAAAGTCTAGTTATATCAAGTTATGGTGATTTAATTTCAACCACATCTTCAAAACTACTCCTAGATATATTTATTAAACAAGTTCATCAGAGTAGTTGTTTATATACATGTACCATTGAATCTTAAGAATTTATTTGAAAATTGACCTTACTAACATGAAAAACATGACCAACAGAAATGTAAAATAGAACACTTCAACTTATTCTTTATCTAAAGTTATATAATGTTTGTAAGTACAACCCAACCAGCAGTACTTTTAAGTTTAATTAGTTAAGTTACTATGAATTAGAAACTCGAACATAGTTACTTGTACACCCACAAAATTACATTTCAACAATGACATGCAGGATCACAGGAGACTACACCAAAGTAGTCACAGTGGTATAGTAAAATATTATCCACTTGAAGAGAAACACAAGTCTGTATGACTAATATCAGTAAAACAAAAGAGTATATGGATAAGACACAATGGAATGTAGTTAGGCCTCTTTAGCTCACACAAACAAAGCAAACTTGGATGCTAATACAATCAATAACATTAAAAAACCAAATATTTACTTTTTAAATTGTTTATTGTTAATTTGAGTGTGATAGACATAATTCAGTGGTTTGTTTATACATTGGTTTAAAAAATAAATATATGTATCTAATAAAAAAATAAGAAAATATTATTGCCATGACAATAATTATACTACAAAGCTAATTAAATTCAAAGCAGTATTCATGTAATAAAATAGAGGAAAAGCAGAATTATCAGTCAATTTTTACCCACAGCATAGGGGCTGATAGAATGGCTCCAAATTTTTCAAGTACAAACTTTTACCTCATAGCACTGTCATCGCTTGACTGATTTGATTGATGTATTTGACCTCACCCAAGGTCTCACATTAATTTATTCTAATCCTGCCTAAAATAATTTCAATTTGGAGGTAGGCTAGTAAAGATCATGATAAGTAATAAAATCAAACTTGATATACATGTGTCCCACACTTGGTATTGCTGGTGCACAAAAAATAATATGGCTAATAAAAAGGAAAAAAAGGCCTCATAGCTTAATTTACTCTAATCCTGACTAGAAGAATTTCAAGTAGCATGGCTACTGAGGATTCTCTCTTGTTATATATCTAATTGCTAAAATGCAAGTGGAGAACTTAATTAGAAATAAATAAAAAACCTATAAGCTACATTTTTGTAAATATAGTATGTGAATTTTACCTTTTATACTTTACAGTTAACAATCATACAGTGTAAAATTAGAAGGAGATTATTTCAAAACTGCTACATTATATAAGGAAGCAGCTTGACTGTGTGAGCAATAGTTTGTATTTAAAAAAAATTAAAATCAGTGTATGTATTTACTTCATTGGTATTCATGATGTTTTATGGATTATAAACTACTTCTAGTGGTTAACCATTAACCATATTACATTAACTTCTCAATTTCTTTGATAATTTCAGTGAAGTATTTAAGATTTATATTTAAATGCAAAAAATAGAAATATTGTAGAAACAGTTTATTGTAAGCCAGTGATTTTTATCTTTCAAACTTAGTGATAAAATAAAAAACAACAACATATCTTGCTGTAAGGGTTTATGATCAATATATATTAAAATGAATTTCTTATTAAAAATGTAGAAAATTATCATCCTATTTAGATTACAATTGCATGTATTAAGATGATAAATTGTCTGTGAATTACAAGCAATACATATAATGTCTTCCATTTCAAGTATACCTATGCATATGCAGAGTATCCCTATTCAAGGGATTCCAAAAAAAGAAAATGACACCTTTATCTCTTATCTGAGTGTACAAGACTCAATATGTCCAAAAAACATCTTCCTCAACAAGAATGTGAAGTGGGAAAAGATGTTTTGGTAAACTACTAAACAAAAGTCCAAAGTACAGTAGTTTTATTTAATTTTAAATTTCTTGTAATTCCACTATTGTGCACTCCTTAACATGATTATGTATGAGAGAGGTGTGGCTTTGATGTCTGATAATTTGTGGACACATGTTATTCATATCATAGCAAATTCTGTAATTTACCTTTATTGCATTGTTTTGGTTATCTAATATTTTACACACACATAAATGCTACTTTTGCTTTCTTACTTTTTGTATCTTCTCACTATTGATACTATACTAAACATTAACAATGTATCAGAAGTATTTTACCTTTGATGTCAAACTAATTATCACATTTTCCTAAATAATTTATACATTAAATTGCTTATGGGTTGTTGACTTTGTTGCTAGTAACATGCAAATCATACAAAAATATTTAAGCAATGATACTATCAATGTTATAATTAATGTCATTAATTAGTGGTGTAACATCCTTTATTGTGGATAGACAATAAGTAAATTTTTTGGTCAGTTCTTCACATTGACAATAATTATTTTTTGGAGGCAAAAGATATTATTCAGTGTGATGCAATATGTGGACATCATCAGCAGTGAATGGTACAAAAGAAATGTGGCAAGTTGCAGGTTAGTATTACATTATTAGGGTTAAGATATTGGTTTTCATTGGTCACTTGCTGTTATTTTGAAGGATTATATGGTGACTTACTCATGCTATTGTCACACTTTTCTACAGAAGCAGTGACAGAGAAATTAGTACATTTCTCCATATATACATAAGTAGATGATTTTCCTTTGTTATGTGTTTTAGCCACATTTGCATCTTCGGTCAATTCTTGTTGTAGTACACTACAATAAATAAATGAAGGCTAATAATTACATTAGGTTCCTTGGATTCTAGGAACAAACATCTGATTTTTGTGTGTTTTGTAAGTAATGAATGACATTCCATTTTTCTTTAGTTAGTTTTAATAACATTATTAGTTACATTGCTTAAAATACTTCTTTTTCTTCATATTATTAATTTTACACTTCTGAAAATGTTTTTTTATTGTTACCCAACTACAAGAATTCAGGACTAATTGAAATCTGCTAGGTTGGGTAAACCAAACCTGCCATATATCATTGGTATTATAAGTGAAAACACACTAACTTTCTGAGGTACACTATTGATGATTAAATGCATTATAATCATTACATACAGTATTGGAAATAAATGTGGAATCAGAGGACAAAGTGAATATGTAATGCAAGTTCAGTAAATATGCACAAACATAAGCACAATACATTATGACAGAAAATTTGCAAAGACAAATGAATACATTGTGCAAAACATTAATATTTAGTATGCGAGTCCATTGCTTGACATCATGCTTTGATGCTCCCATGAAGCTTATCTGAGAAGGACTGTGGAATGTTGTTCCAAATATTCTGTAATACTTTCCATAATTCATCCAAGTTGTTTGGTTGCCTTATAACATTCTCAGCATCCATGTAACCCCATACGACCTTGATGTTCATATGAAGATCATGTGAATGTCAAAACATTGTTGTGAATATTCAATCAGTCTCTTTACATTCTAAATAGGTTTTATAACTACATTGGCTGTATGCTTGTGGTCATTCTCCTGTTGAAAGAAGAAATTGCATAATGAGATGCATTCCTGAAATGGTATGGTGGATCAGAACCTTCCTGTATCAGTCAGCTGTCAGGGTACCTTTGATTTTATGTAATTTCCCAACACCCTTGGCTGAGATACAGCCTCACAATTGTACTGATTCACCGCCATGCTTTACTGTAGCTGTTGCACACAGATTGTTATACCATTCTCCAGTCTGCTTTTGAATAACTTAAACTACCATTTATTATTGTCAAATATTTTAAACTTAGACTCACCTGTAAAGAGCACTTCTTTCAAGGTTTAAATATCTCAACGTTACATTTCTGTTACCAATTTCAGTCTTTTTTTTTATTTTTTGCCTCTTCTCAGCAAAGGTGTCTTAACAGCTAAGCATCTACTAAGACCATTTAGGGCTAGTGAATATCTTAATGTTCTTGAAGAAGCATTAACACCTGTACTTGCAGCAAGGTCAGGTCATTCACAAGATCTCTACTAAATCATTGCCTATCATGCAGAGAATTTAAACTGAGAAACTATATATCACTTGTGGGTATTTTGGGTTTTCTTTCCCAACCACTTCTACTGTCAACAGTGCCAGTTTCATGAACCCTCTTCAGGGTCTTGCATATAGCACTGGGTGAAACATGAAGTTGGGCTGTGATCTGTCAGTAGAAGTAGCATTTGTAGCTAAAACTTTGATTTCTATATGCTTTTCATGTGTAATTTCCTTCCCAGGAACCATCATGTTCACCATAAGTTTAAAATTCTAAAATCGTATCACTGCTTATATTTATATAGGCTTTGTGCTGGTTTGGTACTTTTAGATTGGTTGCCTAACATCCAATTATATTGCTCCATAACAACACAACATTGAGCAACATTTCATTTTTACACAAAAGACATTATTTTATCTTGTGTAAGTTGTATTATATACCTACTTTATCCTCTGTTTCCATAATTATTTCCAAAACTGTACATTATATATATATATGTAGGTTTTCCTGTGTGTATGGATTTATGACATGATGTACATCTTGTTAGTTTGTTTTGTAGAATTAGTACTAGGTTTATGTGTTACTTTTTAAGTTCTGATCTAATTAGTCAGCTTACTTTTGACTATACGCTATCAATAAATATGTTGTTAATGTTACTAGTGGTTTATTATTACAGCTAGTTAAACTGATAAATGTGCAGTAAACAGTTTAAGTTTTGAGATGCTCAGCTCAAGCAACTATTTGGCTGTCTGCAGTCTAACTAATGAATTTGGTTGAGAAGAAACACTCTAGGTCCTTGTGGTTACATATCAGTAAAGTCCTGTTTTTTTCCCTTTGTTCTGAAACATACAGGTGACACACAAAATTAAATCAGCTGAGTGTACCAAATATTCCTCAGTTTATGCTATCTGATTATTCCTATCAGTCATAGAGGACTCTACATAAGACCAATATAAGATTTATAACTATCCTAGATTGGTCAGATGTACAGGAAGAGCCTGTTTACAACTGTTAAATCAATTAGTAATGTTACTTACTAATGTTTCTTCTTGAGCTTGATAACTTAGCCATCTTAGATCTTAGGGAGAGTGAAGGCTAGAGAAGCTCCTCACAAGAATAAGAACATTAGATGTGTTAAAATGCTATAAGGCCCATGAAATTATACTTTCTTTCATATACGGGGAACATGTGTGCAAGTTACTAACTTCTGAAACCGATGTATAAATGTACTAATCTATGATGCTATTGTCAATCCTGAGTAAGTTGGTGAACTTGCACTATGGGAATAAATGTAGCCATTTTGGATAAAAGTTAAAACAATAGTCAAGTCAATTGAGGTGAAAAGAAAATCTGACAGAGAAAAAAAACACATAACATATGCATGCTGAACTTATTAAAATGTATGTACCTTTGTACTTAAAAGTAATAATACAAAAGTAGTGAATGAACAACAATGTTTCAACATTTTCACTGTAATTTCTGATGAAGCTTGGGAGTTAAAAGAAAGAAAAATAAGCAAATACCAACATATTAATATTAAAAAAAAAAGACCTTATCTATTTTTTCTTTTTGTTTTTTCCTCCAAGTTTATTGGGCTTATATAATCTTTATCTGAAGATTGCAAAAAATGGCAAAACAGCATGTTTTCAATTTATTATGTGATACATGTAGTTTAATCAACCTCCTTTAGCCAGTACATGTAATCTACTCAAAGTCCAATTTAATGAATTCAATTCAAATTATATTAGCTTACAAGTAAATGGTATTCACCAGACCCATCTAGAATAAAATAAAACCACTATTAAAATATTTCTGAGGAGTGAGCAAATCTGTAACTGAAATGAACTATTGCCATCTGTGAACAACTTGGAAAAATAAGCCAATATAAATATGTTTTCACTGGATAAATAATAATTATCGTTTCTTAACAAAGCTAATAAAACATGAAACTTGCCACAACACACTGAATGAAATATATTGGTGAGTGTATATTAGTTGGAACCACTTTAATGACAGTTTTCTCTATATAGTACTTTCAGGTTTCCAAACTATACTCGGTCTCCTTCACTCCTAGTTTTATATCTTCTGCTGTAAAGCAGTCTCCATAAATATAGAAATAATGTGGGCACCTACTATAGACTGGAGCAAAAGCTACACATTACATTGTAGGTTTCTGTCTAGATGGTGAACTCCATGATCATGAAACATGGATTGTTTGTTCATTTTGAATTTTGCACAAAGTTACATGAGGTCTATCAACACTAGCCATCCCTAATTTAGCAGTGATTGATTAGAAAGAAGGCAGCTAGTCAACATCACCCACTGCCAACTCTTGAGCTACTCTGTTAGCAAAGAACAGTGGGATTAACTGTTACATTTTAGCAACATCACAGCTGAAAGAACAAGCATGTTTGGTGTGATAGAGATTCGAACCCATGACCCACAGATTGCGAGTAGTGTCCTAATCATCAGGACCATGAAACATGGTTGAACTAATATATGGTTGCAGTGCTTCATCTTAACATGGAGGTTACTTTTTATGGTTGCAGTACTTCGCCTTACCATGGATTATACTTTCTTCTGTCTACACAAAGAATGAATTTTTTTTTGCACCACCTTTTATAGATGAGTTTTATCTTTGGCAGTAAAATGAAACTCTAAGCTAGCTATTATGTGAGAAATTTTCTAAAACCTTCCTGTCTTAGTGAAAGGATGTTTTAAGGGGCTTTCCATTATAATGCTGTCCAATTCAAATTCTTATTTGCCATATATCAGCAGTGCTGTACTGTAAGTATTTACAGCTCTCTGTATTGAGTTCAGAGAGTAAGAGATTCAGCACTAAATTTAGGCGAATCCATCAACCTGAAGGTGGGCTATATTCAAACACTGCTTTTTTCACTTATAAGACCCACATACTGGCATATGTATTTTCATTTTCATGGTATGATTCAAGATGAATCCTAAACACTCCTGAAGAAATCTATGAATTGAGACATGGTCTGATGCCTATTACACCTAACAGTCCTGTATTTTTTTTCCCTTCAATCTATCACCATATACATGCATGTACGTATATGCACACCCCCCTTTTGACTGCCACTGATGATAGAACCTGATGACAAATATCTTTGAATAACTATTCGATTAAACATCGTCTTTCCTAATGATGGTCCTACTAGATGGTTAGGGAAATCCCTGCTTTTATCCATTGTCTTGAAGTCTAACAATGAGATAACTATATCTCTGCACTTATAATACCAGCAATCATCTGACATATAATACAATCAGTTCATTTTGCTTATGGCTATAACACAAACACTAACAAACTGGCCAGTGTGTGTATAATGACAACTACTTGTATCACCAAGAGCACAACAGTACATTAAAACTCAATCTTTAAATGTGTGCAACAAAAATGAAAAGCTTAGCAGGGTATCTACTGGACATACATTATTGCTTTTACAATAAATGTAAATGACTGCTTCAATAGATAATTTTCTTCCTTTGTAATGTCATATGTACTTCCTACCACTTTCCACGTTATACTTTAATTAATCGAGTTGCTGTTAAAATAATCATTGTTTGTTTAGCTATACTTAAGAGGTTCTTTTGTTTATACATAAACTTCATTACTCAAACTGTAAAATAAAAAAAAATACTTGCAGCCTCTTCAGAAAAACGATCCCCCATTGTGGTAAGTAACTCTTTAAGTCTTTCTTCATAAATACAACCAGTATTATCCTCATCAAAGCATGCAAATGCATTTTTTATTACATCTTCAGGGTCTGTACCTTGGAGCCGTTCACCAAACAGAGTTAAAAACATGGTAAAATTTAATGGGCCTGGTGCATCATTCATCATGTTTTCCAGGTATTTGTCATCTGGGTTCTTTCCTATGGTATACAAAATATTGTATAATTCACTGAGTATATACATGAAGCATTAATTATCATACATTTTAAATATATGTTTTCTAATTTATGTATATTTGCACATATATGAAGTGTAAAGTTTCTGATTTTAAATATTTTCACAAGCCCTAGTAACAGTTATAATGTGAGGTCTTACCTTGAAAAATTGAATGTATGTACCTACATGTATTCTTCAGAGTTTAGCAAATGGTTTGAAATTACTTACTTGGAGAACCCTCTCATCATGTCAGCAGACTATATGCTTACATATTTTAAAACTTATCACAATGTTTATTTTATCATGCCTTATTATAGCCCTACTACTTCTACTCTTAAGTTTAAAGTACTGCATTCAAACAAGTAATAAATTTAGTACTATTACTGGAAATTTGTTTTTATAAAGTTCTTTAGAGGGTGTGTTAGACATTCACACATAGGTTAAGCAAAATTATAAAACAATGTATGTGTAATTCAAATAATCCATGAAACTGTGAGGTATAGGGATATGTTCAAGTCTTAAAGTTAATACCTTGAGCTGCTAGTATACCCCCACAACAAGTACATATAATAAAGAACATTTTAACTGCTGGCATTCAAATTACACTTTAGAATGCATGAAAAATGTACTGTAATTTGATATTGGTATGATAGAGTTTAATAATGTTTAATAAGAAAACAGAAAATCCTACCTGCTTACCCTCATTTTTCCTGGCAAAATTACCATAAACAATGAATTCCTTTCTTTTTTGGCTAATGTGCAAAGACAAATAAATGTAATAAGGATGGATGTGAAGAATTTCTATTTTTCTGATTCAAAATAATCACTTCACACTAGAATAATTATAATGTTGTTGTGTACAAAATAATGACTTACTTCATAACCATGATAACCCTGTTCTAACAAGTGAAGTGACAAATGCTGTCAAGTTAATTATCCCTTTTTACAACAATTTCTGTGCTTGATCTAATAAATTTATTTGTGTACATTCTATTCATTACCACTAAACTGATTTCCCAGTATAGTTGTCATCGTATAAAATCATAAATTTAATCCCAAGAACTAAATGTATGTACCTTATGTTAAACTGTACTAGTAATCTTACTAGCAACTGTTGTATATAGTATTTTTCAATTTCATGATGATTAATATCATTTAAACTATATATTGTTCTTCTTACAATACTTAAACATTCTTGTACAATGTTTTATATTAAATTGATCAGCTTTGTTACCATAATAAACCCTCACAAATATAATATTTTAAAAAGACAACTAGTTTTGGCCGTACATTTACATTTGGTTTCAGTAAATAAATATATTTGTCATTGTTGGAAAGAAGATTATTTTTCAAAATATGTTCAAACATTAATAAATAGCTAGCCACTGTTTGACAATCTGCAACATCTATATAATAAGATTCAGTGTCAGTGTATCACACATAACTCCTCCTAAACTGCTGGTTGCACCAACTTTTATGTGGTATCAAATGATTAGTCTCCATCCTGTAAAATGTTTCACCCCAATCCTTTGGGGAACCCAGAGATTTCCCCAAAACCTCTTCTCCTAAACTGCTGGACTCACCAACTTCTAAATGGTGCCAAATGAATCATCTTAGCCTCGAGGTTTGCATAAAGGTAAAATTTTTCACCCAACCCCTTAGGGAACCTAGGTATTTCATGAAAACACTTTTACAGGAATTCCCTGAAAGTAGACCCCAAAACTGGCATTGATTTACATTAGAGCACATAATTAAGTAGGCCTATTGACAACCATTTGTAACTTGGTTAAAAAATTAAACTTGCATTATAGTGGCAATGATCGTTAAACTGAAAAAAGTACAAGTTAGTAGTTCAAGCATTAAATTTGCATTATAGTGGCCCTGTAAATGTGTGCCTATGGCCACAGGTTTGCTAGTGTTTTTTACATTCTAGTCTTGTTAAGCTCAACCAATCAAATACCAATGTATCCATTTGCTAGTTTTTTCATATTATCTAAATCAGAAGTTCACTTCTTGTAGTTGTTATACCTGATGATGCCAGGTTAACCTGGTGAAACACTGTAACCACAAATATTATACTTTGTATGTCTAGCAATAAAAAAAAGTGTTAAGTTTTACATAACAGGGTACTTTCTTTAATTTTTCATTCATGTTTAGGAAAACACAAGATATGACTAATAATATTGCAAGATGTTCAGAGAAAAAATATAATAGAGAAATATCAGAGCTTACAAGATGGATTTCTAAAAATTTTTCAAACATATCCAAAGAAATATTAACTGTCAAACATTTCTGGCAATTAATAGTTTGTTGGTGTTTGAAAAATGTTTAAAATAATTATTCCATCTAGTGAGCTGCTGAAGTATTGACTGAATGGATTCAATGGTAAGTTCTGAAGAATTAAGAGCAAATGACAGATAAGAGAATTTTTTAGCTCCTTTAGAAGTTATTTTCATTCATAAAAATATTTGTGTGTTAACTTTTATCTGATAGATACAGAAATTTTCTTTGAAGAGAAGACATCAGATAAGCTTAGTTAGGTTCAGTGAGTACAACAGATGACATCAAAATATTCTGACAATCCAAATCCTTGTTGTTTCAGAGAAGCTTTAATGTTTTCAAATCCATATTTTCCCACAAAATACAACTACCAGTGGAAAAACACTAAAGATGCCTATAATATAAATGAGGGGTAATTTGAAAATCTTATAAAAAAAAAAAAGAATAAAAACTAGCTGAAAATAGGAAGATTAGACACATAAAAATAATTAAGCCTGTTTATTAATTAATTAGCAAATTCCACTAATCACTTAGCTCTAGCAACCTCCTTGAAAAAAAAATATCATAGATTAGTGAATCCAAAACAAGGCTGATAACTTCTTAAGTATCATTTATGAATCGAAAATAATGTGAAACTTTCATATCAATGTAGTTTAAAACAAAGTTTGTTGTAGGTTAAAATATTCTCAGTTTTTGTGGTGAAATCTCAGGTTCAGGATCAGGAAAGGAAATGGGTTTTAGGAACTAGGTACATGCTTAGAAGGAGCAGTGGGGGTGATAGGTATAAAAAAGCAACTAGAAAAGTTCGGAGGTTCATATTTTATATTCCAGCTTATCGATATCGGTAATTTGAGTTGCTAATTTGTAAGAAACTATAGACTTTGTATTTGGAGATTAGAAACATCTAATTCGATCCAATGCTGCGTTCAACATACCACGTGACACAAAAAGAGATATTTAGGTGTGTTCTTATAATATTTATTTTTAAATTATGAAATTAACTTATGTATAATACTAAAAGTTGAATTATAATCTACAATTTCATACCAAACTTCTTGACATAAATTCATAAAATAGTAGTTCAATAAAATTTTGAATGCAAGTCAAGAAACGTGATGACATGGCCTTTGACCCATGACAATAGGGTTAATAAATATATTCAGTGGTACTAAACTTAACCAATGGGGAAAAAATGAAAACTGAGAACTAGGTACACAGCGTGTATCCCAATTTCCATCACTGTTCAGGATTAAAGAAATCCTATATGAGCTACATTTATGCAATTTTAATTAATCCAATCTCTCTGCGTGCATATCCAGTATGGATTAATAACAAAAACCTAAAACTTCATGAAGATTAAGAGAAAAACAGCAAAATAAAATTCTTCAAATAGCAGTTACATAATTTGTTTACACTTAACAATCAACGTAACATTGCAATTTTATCACACAGACATGCATCTGTGACACTCAGGTTTCATTAGATTATTTAGCTCAGCAAGTTTAAAATAAATAAAAGTCAACTAAACAAATAGGACAGGTGTTTCAAAGTTCACTTCCTAATACAGCCTGGAACAAATACATACGTTATCTTTGCTTACAGTACTTTAATAATCATTTACTTTTCTGATATTACCTTAACTTCATGTAAAATTTTTATTGAGAAAGTTATTCCCAATAGTTCTTTCAAGTCCAAGGCAAAGATTGTATATTCTATGTACCCAGAAGCATATCATGCATATAATGTGTCACTTGTATTTTGTTGAAGGTTCTGGATTTTCATATGCTCCAGACTTTCCTGATCAGTAATGACATGCAACTAATATTTGATAAAGCTAAACAAATTCTATGTCTAATTACCATTTGTGTGGGATGTAAAAGGTATGAAAAGCTTGCAAAACATCAGACCAATAAAAAAAGAAGGAATCGATGAATAAAGAACATCAATTTATGGTTGTAATGACTGAAATAATCATGAATTTCACCTTTACATAACTTTATTCAGGTATATTCATATTACTCATGTAATATTTTTCTAACTTTCCATGCAGTTTCTGCACGTAGCTATGATATTCTCTTCTCATAGCTGTAAACATGAGCTAATTCTTTTACACAGGTAGAGATTACATACTGCAGTTTTCATTCTTAAGTCTATTCAAACAGGCAATACAGAAACCCGTATACCTGGCTCAGCTTAAGACGGCACTTAAGGACACTGATTGAAATATGTAATGCATGGACTTGTGGAATTCTGTACTTCTGGTTTTGTCAGGTATGTGAAAAAGGTATTTCAATAGTTCTGTCACTTGCCTTTGCTCTCTCTAGGTTGTCATCTTTTGTTTTGGAGCCCTCAGTACAAGCAGCCAGACTAGACTAGTCGAGTGTTATCACTCATAACACTATTCATTTACATTAATTTCATGCACAGTTTCATCATCATATTTGGGTAATAACTTTGAAATGTCACTTTTCCTTTCCCGTCTCTAGTCCATTAATTTAGTTAAGATAAGTTCACAAGCAAAACTATTAAATATTAATTTACATAGAAGGTAAGTTTTATAAATTTAAATGCGTAAATTTAGCAGGTTAAGAAGGGATTACATTTAGTTGATGATATCTACACAAGTTCTAGGACTTGCTGTAAAGAGCTCTGGTTTTATTTTTTGTTTTATCAATCTATCAATAATAGGATTTTACTCAGTAGTTTATTCTCTTATCTTTATTTACCTGAATTATTCTAATTTTCACTGTATATATATATATATATATATATATCTGGAAGAAATGTTTGTTCACTTCCTGAATTTTCTCTTATAGAATTAGTGTGACAGTTTCATTTTCCAGTGATCTAGTTTCATATAGAATCCTGTAGTTTACATTAAAATGATGAATTCAATATCCTCACTAATAATTTTCTTCAAGTAAGATAACAAATTAGGTATGTTAATATCACAAGTTTATTAAATAATAAAACAACCATTAACATATAATCTTAAAAATATACTTAATATGACATTTACACCAAAATAAATCAGTTACATGTATTTATATAAAATGAACCATTTAAAACTAACAAACACCTCAAGTTCTTATATAAATCACACAGAATGATACATTACACTTTTGGCCAATCATTAATAAAATATTTATATAGTTGGAAATAACATTTCCTACTACAGAATTGAGGAAAAAAACAAAACAAAGACAACTGTACATTTCATTTATTTACAACCATGGTTTCACCAGTAAAGACATCGTTATGGTAAAATCATGGTCATCAATAAATAAAGTATTTGTGAAACGTATGATAATCTTTTTTTTTTTCCTTTCTCAATTTTGTAATTATGGAGTTTCACCAAGTACCGACAATTTCAAGTTTCAATTACACTTCCTACTAGTTTTTAAAGGACATATGGTTGGTAAAATAAGATACCAAGTTACCTGTTTAACTTTTATTATAAACACAACTTAATGACTAGCATATTTTAAAACTTAATAAAATGTGTTAATACATTTAGAAACACAACACAGAAGTTTTGTAAATACTCTTACCCATTGAAGCTAACATATCATGAAGATCTTCTTTATCTATGAAACCATCTCTGTTTTGGTCAATCATATTGAAAGCTTCCTTAAACTCCTGAATTTGAGCCTGATCAAACATTGCAAAAACATTGGAAGTAGCTCGTTGTGCACGTTTCTTTGGTCCAGCCTTTGATCTGGTTCTACGACTTGCCATTTTGTTATTTTAACTATAGTAAGAAATGTAACTTTAATAAAGTTAATTACTTTGATCCAAGAACAAACAGAAAATTTCATAAACACGATAAAATATAAGAATTTGTTTACATAGAATTAAAATCATTACTTTGAAATACAATGTGTAATAGATCTTATTCTCAGAATATGAAAAAAAAATTAAATTTTAAATCTTCATTTTTTAAAATATCCAAACTTTTAGATTAAAAAGATATTAACTTAAACTCAAGGTTAAAATTTATTACATAAACCCTAACAGTCTGGCACAACAATCAATCAAATTGATCCATGGTTAACACTAATGGAGTTAAGCAACTTAAAGATAAACAGGTCTATTATAATATACAAGGGTGTGAGGATGCTTACATGTCTAAATAACCAAAGTATTTACTTAATTTCCCTTTGTGACTTTAACATTGATATTTTATGCAGTTAACAAGGATCTGATGACGATGAAATAAATAATGATTTTTACTTTCATCAAATGGTAGATTTTTTCAGCAGAATTTAGACTTGTTGTAAACATGCAAAATTACGTAAAAATAGAGATTATAACTGTAAGTTTAACTACAGAAATGATTATCAGTGCCATATTATATTACTAATCATAACATTGTTTTTCCAGAGATGGTTTGTATCTAACTAGTAAAATCCACAGTAAATGGTTAAAATGGAAAAATATATCAGAAGACTTGAAATTGGAAAGATTAGTCTTGACATATTTGTTCCTCTGTTTCAGTCTCAAATTGTTCTATTTAATTTTGTTTTTTGCTAAATGCTACACACATATTGTGTTCATTTAATACTTTTTTTTTAATTTAAAAGCATAAAGTGTGTAATAGTAATCAAACACATACATGTACACAAAACTAGAATTAAATATTTTCATATACAAACACATATTTATATATCAATATTTTTTTAACATAAAAATGAGTCAATACTGTAGAACTTATAGTGCCCACTTCAACAAACTCTGGTAGGATTTCTTAGCTCCAGTGCAGGCAATAAACCAGTAGTGGTATTTTGTCTTCTTCTTTGGACAGATTATTATTCCAAACTTTGTGGATACACATACCTCCAACATCAGATATGACTTAAGTTTTATGCTTCTTCTCTTGTGCTAATTCAAGGATAAACCTACAAAAGTTACAAATTCAGGTTGATCTTTGCAATAATGGGAGATTCAAGGACCCAGTATACAAAAGGACAGGTGTAGTGATTTGTAGTACAGAAATGAAAAAGACAAGACTCACTGTAAAGCTGAAAAAAAAATAAACACAGTGTTGAATAAAACAGAATAATGGCCAATCATTCAGATGGAAAAGGCTATTGCATTGTGACATGTTGAGCTGAAAATAGTTTGTTTTTGAAAATGAAATTCATGTAAACTCACTTGATCACTTAAAACTTTAACAGCAAGAAAAGAAATTAAGAAATCTCCCTAAGTTCATCAAAACTGTATTCACAATGCATATTCTCTCTGTAGCTGACTAATCAAAAAAGAGAATCACAAGACACAGAAGCACCTCTGCTCCTTGCATTAATTGTAGAGCATTAGGTAAATCACAATACAACTATAAAAATGAAATAGTAGTTAGCTTCTGTGACTGGACCCTGGTATAGAGAGTAATGCTTGGGGAAGTACTTAACACATAAGCTTAACCAAATTTTGTATTTCCAATTCCAGATTGTTCCAAATCAGAACTTGAAAAAAAATCCAATATCTTAGACATATGAAAAATACACTAATGCCTATACTATAGCAAAGAAGAGTATGGTATTGATATAAAATACTTGCAAAATATAGCCTGTGTTTAGTTTATAAACAATGTTTAATATAACATTGATTCTTTACTCCTAACCTAGCTACATACGGTTTTATGTATACATTTGTCTCACTGATTCAAAACAAAGGTAGTCAACAGTATACATATGCTTTATCAATGGCGTAGGGACTATAAAGTATAACTATAAGTATAATTTATATTATAATGGAGAAAGAACGCTTTAATTTTAGTTTAAATATAATAATATATCACAGTCAATTTATATTTTCTAAGCTTACAAAATAAAACGGCAAAACTTCAGTACTACCAGTACTAGTGATATCAATTAACAATATGAGTGAGGTGATTTTAACTACTAGTAGTATTACTATTAGTATTAATGTCGACGTTAGCCTACCCTTTTTTTTCACTTTCACTTTTCAGTATTTGTATTTCCTATGTCAATTTATTCTCCTGGCCTACACTGCTGAAATTCACGAACGTTGGCACTTAATAGTAGTCTTTTTATAAGTTTACTGAGTGGTTCTTACTTTTCTACACTGTTCGGTGTTAGAAGCTTATTTAAAACCTGTATAAAATACAAATAACACTTAGTTTCTAGATGTTATAACAAAACCTCACCTTGTACAACTTCCAGGAACAAATACCAACTCGTAACGATAATGACACATAATATTGTAGCCGAGAGATGTCGCTTTAATTATATCGTTTTCCTAAATGATAATACTGTAATAAATAAAAAGATATAGCATTTCAATCTAATTTTGTCTTCTACGTCTCCCTAATAAAAAAAAAGTACAAAAATATTAGCTGAACACTTAATTTTGCTAAAATGAGTAGACAGATCTTGGTGTCTGTTTATACAAATTTCAAGAGACTGGACATTTTTTCCTTAAAGTAGGCTGGGTATGCCCCTGAGGATCCAAAACTTCTAAAGCATTTTTAAAGTCCCCCGGTGGGATAGCGGTAAGTCTAAGGATTTACGACACTAAAATCAGGGGTTCGATTCCCCTCGATGTACACAATAGTTTAAAGAAAAATTACTACTACTTTTTAACCAAGTCATAAAATGACCTAGAACATGTTAGATAACATAGGAAAAATATACATCCATCCATTTTAGAAAATCATATATCAATCCCATATTAGAAAAATAAAAAGATCCCTCAGTAGTTCGGCGATAAGTCTTAAGACTTATAACGTTAAAAGCTGTATTTCGGCACTCATAGTAGGTACAGCATAAATAGCCCATTGTATAGCTTTGAACTTAACAACAAAAAACTAAGTAAAAATAATAAAATAATCACCATTGTGAGGACTTGTAGTTCCATTATCACAGGTGTTTATCTTCAATGTATGCGATTTTGCCAGAGAGAAAGGAATATAAAATAATTCATACCGATTATTTATTCATTTTAAAATCTACAGGAAAATAAATACACGTATAACAGTTTAACTAACTATTCTGAACACTTAGGTGAACTTAAGGAAGAAAAGCTTACTTCTTTGAATTTATGCTTCCATTTTTAGATAAAATAGTTCTATATGGGTTCTTCTTCAGACAAAGAGATTTGTTATCGTTATATGGTTGAGCACAAAGCTACACAATGGGCTATCTGTACTCTGGCAATCACGGGTATCGAAATCATATTTTTGGCGTCGTAAGCCTGCAGATTACCACTAAGCCATTGAGGAGCCGAGACACTTATGTCAAAATTACCGAACTCTTTCTAGATAAGAAGTTATGAATATACGACTCCTTCTCAGACCAGAAGTAAACATTTTTGACCTCATAGAGATGTAAATATATATATATTGCCTAATACATAGGGAGAACACCTTCCATGTTAAATATTAAAATATGCTGTTGGTATTCTCAATCTGGAAAGCACCTAATGTACACATGGAGTAAACTACAAGGGCAGAGAGTTGACACCACTGGGGCTCAATTACAACTATCCATTGTTTTGAACTATTGATTTGATGGAAGGTAATCAATGAACAGTAACCACCAAGAAAAAGTCTTTATCAGGCTTTAAGCCAAATAACAGAATGGATTATCACTTTTATAATACATCAACAACCGAAACTGTTGAGTGTGTTCAGTGGCATCTTAGACCGTCTGATCTTTCATCTCAGCACGTTAGCCATTAGGTCATAGCAGCCACATATTAAGAATCAAAAAGGTTTCTGCACCTCGGCTATAAATATCACCTTGCCGTAAAAACGCGCTCCAAAATTTTGGGACGTAGGTACAGTATAAAAATTATAATGAGATTACACTATTTCAATTGGCGGTGAATGTTGTTGCCTTCCTTCTAGTCTATTAATTCAAAATTGGAAAGGTTATGCACAGATAGTCTTCGTGTAGCTTTGTGCAGGTCACATGTCCAGATAGCTCATTGTGGTATGCTCATCCTGTGTTGTTTAAGAGCATCATATCAAACAAGGTTGGAAATTTGCTATTAGTTCGAAGGAAGAGGCTGATGTGTTGACGATCTTACATGTAGTACAATAAACAAAAGCTGGATTTGCTGTTCATATTTACAGTCAAGACATGGATGAATTACTTTTTACAGCATGCTCTTCTTCTTGGTGATAAAACAACTTTGTAAAAGTGATCGGTGTCAAGTTTCATACAATAGCCAGTTTACAAAGCATTTGGAGTAGACAAAATCAGAGCTTTATGCAAGTGGAATGCCCATACTAGTCGTGATAAAAAAGGTTACATCAAGGCAAATAAAAGAAGACATACTCAGAAGCATTATTGAAAGCAAGCCCCAGCACTGTGGCTTCTATATATATGCTCAGGGATTTGAGATCGAGCTTTCTGATGCTACCATAATTTTTATGTGGTTTTTTCTATAACAATAGTGTCAAAGTCATGCACCCACAAAATCTCAGGTAATCTTATTCAAGCAATAGGGTACTAAAGGTGTTTATTGCTACCACCAAAATTTCGTATATGGAGAGAACGTATCTGATAAACTTGTCACTAATCAGCTGTATGGGAACAGGATCTTATTCTTCATTCTATAGTTACCGAGCCTTCTCAGGTTTAGCCAGATAAAAGAAGATGACTATCTAATGTGTGAATTGCCCAAGGTTTCACAAGACCTAGTAACAGATGATACAAGTTAATTAGAAATATGCAAGCATATTTCTGTGTCTGATGGAACTTAGCCAAATATTAAATATAGAAAGCCAAAATAAGGTTATTAAACACACATGCATTGGAGACAATGTTAAACAATGTAAATATTAAAATATCTGAACCTAAAAATGAGGGCGTAGTTTATAAACGTCTGTGGTTTTGTTTCTTTGAATTTATGCACAAAGCTACACAATGGACTATCTGTGCTCTGCCCAGCACGAGTATCGAAACCCGGTTTCTAGCGTTGTAAGTCTGCAGACATACCGCTGTGCCACTGGGGACGCGTCTGTGGTATTCACATCATCAACTTGATACTTGGATAATGTAAGTAGGATGTTTATAAGCCAATAAATATATCAAAATGCGGGATAAATTTGTTAGATATGATGGTCATTAAGAAATATATAAAGGCTGTCCTTGAGAGCCAGTAGAAATTGTAGCAAGCGGTTATATATTTCTTGATGTTATTACAGCGTTTCCTACAAGACACTAAGTTGGTTCCCAAAATGCATATAAATTCCAGAACCTGACAGACTACATAGCTCATGATAATAAGTCAGATCCACAGATTCGAAAAATAAAAATTGTAAAATGTGATGATTGAAATAGTTATGAATTTTGTCATTTCATGGCCAGTTTGGAATATCCATCTTTAGTCAGATATATTCAGGTGTTTCGAAATTTTCTTGCAGTCATTCTGAATGTAGGATGGAATTATTTCGAGTTAACTCTTAAAAGGTTGTAAATATGGACTAATCCTTCTTCTGGAGTATAGACTACATATGCTAAGTGCTAGAAACTTATTTTACTTTGGTCCTGTGCCTGATCTTCTGGGGAGAGGCGAGCATATCACATGGTGTAGCACAGATACTTGCACAAATTGGTATGAGTTAAGGGTATTCTTTCTATAAATGTTACTTGCACAAATTGGTATGAGTTAAGGGTATTCTTTCTATAAATGTTACTTGCACAAATTGGTATGAGTTAAGGGTATTCTTTCTATAAATGTTACTTGGGGTAGTCTGTGATATATATAATCTTGTATTTTTGTATGCAATACTTTTAACATTTTAGTTTAATTTTTTGCAGTTAATCAGAATTCCATTTACGTTTGTACTTTTTACCTTTTTACTGTGCAGATGTAAAATAATTCCATTTTTCTCTTTCCTGTGCAGACGTAAACAAATGTCTCTTTGTCCTTGCCCTGTGTAGATGTAAAAGCAAAATACTCCTCTCAGTCTTAGCAGCCATTTAAAGTCACAACAGAAAAACAGGAACCCAATCTGATAAATAATCATGATAAACAATAATTGCGATTAAGGATTTTTCTTTATTTGTTCATATGTGTGTGTGTGTGTGTGTGTTTTTCTAATTGTTTACTCTCCAAGGTAGATTTATTATCTGCATTACATTTCCAAAATCTGTGTTTTTAAGATCATTGTAAACTTATTTGCTGAATATAAATGAACCTAAGTAACACAAGAGAAAAATTAAAAGGAGTAGCAGAATATTTCAATGAATAAATTAAACCAAGTCTGGTCTGAGTTGAGAAAATATCTACATTTGACCACTGTTTTTGTATGAGCATGAACATCAGCTATTGCAGACAACTTTGGTTTCATTTTATATGCATTTACAAAGTATTACATCTCATAACAATTTGGTGCAAAGAAATTCATGCAGGTTCTCTACTGCAAACATAAGCTTCTAACACGTTGTTCCTTGTCTCTATTATTAGCTCATAACATCCAATCGTGCACTTTTTCAAAAAGCTTATTTACTTCACCCATAGTTAGTTAGCGTTGCTGAATTTGACAGGAAGATTAGCGAAGGTAAAGGTGGACAGAAAAGTATATCATCACAATTGCGATGATTTTTTTTTCTGGTAGCCGAGCAAGAAAACATATTTTAACTACGAGATGTTTATAAAACATATAATGGGTTGGAATCAGTCTTTCGCCAGTTTTCACCTGACCTCCAAGCATTTAAAGGAAGTCTTCTATCCTGTCATAAGATGTGACAGATATTATATGTTCTGACATTAAAGTAGAATTACATGATTCATTATTACTTCCTAACTTTCACACTAGAGATGTTTCCTTCTTTCAGTTATAGATTTCTATCACAGCATTTTTGTCAGTGGGCAATCCAAGCAGCGTTACACCATCCCTAATTCCAAATCACCAACCACATGGAGGCAAGTCAAATGGCTGGAAGCAAACATTCTTATTCATACTTTATTATTATTAATCATTATTTATCACCTCTCTACTATAATTATTTTTATTTTTTGATTCCAAGTACCCAATGTAAATCAGATGATTTTAATATTACTTCTGCTACCAATCTTCATTGTCTTCAACTTAATGTAAACTGTCTGAAAACGTTCAGTATTCTTGATCTTTTCCAGTGGACATATCTCCTCTACAATTACTTTTTTGTTTTCTTTCTCTCTCTCAAGTGCTGATATAGTAGGTGAGA